ACTTCAAGGCGTTAGCAAAACAGCTATAGTGCTTCCCAGGCTTTTTTACGTTTCAGCTGTCCGCCTTCCTCACTTGATGCCAATCAGCAATCTGAAACATTTAACATGTCTACAATCAAATATGACCGTTGCACGATTTAATCATAGAGCTGCAACCCGTAATTTGCCTTCTCGCTTACCCACAGTCTCATAGTAATAACTTTAAAGCGCACCCATTGTTTACCACATATAGGTGGACTCCAGTCCTGTCGAAAGAGTCATTCATTGGTCCTGATGCATTCTTGGCTGTCAAGATTGCTAAGCATTAAATAACTAGGTTAGAACTGAAGCTACAGCTGTAGCTCACTCAAATCCTACAGGATAATTTAAAGGACCTTACTTTAAATTATCCTGTAGGATTTGAACACCTGATAATTCAAAGAAGAGCCTCATCAGAACCCACAATAGGAAAGGTTCACCATTGTCTGGATTATCTGTCAAACAGGAAGGCTGGATCTCTGTCTTAAGCTCTTGCTACACTGTAAGTATTTATGAGTTTCCTCCCCCCTCTGGATTCCTCAATGGTTAAAGAGAATACGGGCTGGTCTTGAAACCTCCTTCCACTTTCAACCTTTCTTTCTTGCCCATGAGATCTATTTCAGTATGGTCCTCAGTCCAAATATTTCTATCATTTCTTCCAGAGTAGAGTCAGGATTCTGGGCAGATACTTTACAAACACTTTACAAGAGTTTACATGGTTTCAGCCCTTTTATGGTATGTGGTTGTCTTTTACGTGTGAAATAAGAGAAAAGCACTTGACACAAGCTACACAGTTATATGGTTTCTCATTGTATGGGTTCCTTGATGTTGTTAAAGATGGACAGACTAACTGAATCTCTTCCCACACTCTGAGCATTCAGAAGGATTCTCCCCTTGTGAGTTCACAGATGCTTTTGAAGATCACAGCTCTGAGTGGATTCCTTTTCACACTCATTGCATTCAAAAGATTTTTCCTTGCTGTGCATTCTTAGAAGCTGTTGAAAAACGATGCTCCAGTTGAAGGCTTTTCAGACTCTGAGCATTGAAGTGCTTCTCCTCTGTGTGAGTTCTCAAATGTTTTAGAAGATTGTCATACCAACTGAATCTCTTTTCACGCTCTCAGCTCTCAAAAGGTTTCTCACCTGTGTGAGTTCTCAAATGCCTGTGAAGATGACCACTCCCAACTGAATCTCTTTCCACATTCTAAGCATTCAAAAGGTTTCTCCCCTGTGTGAGCTCTTAAATGCTCGTGAAAATGACCACTCCCAACTGAATCTCTTTCCACATTCTGATCATTCAAAATGTTTCTCCCCTGTGTGGGTTCTTAAATGCTTGTGAAAATGGTCACTCCGACTGAATCTCTTTCCACATTCTGATCATTCAAAATGTTTCTCCCGTGTGGGTTCTTTGATGCAGTAGGAAATCACCACTCAAACTGTATCTCTTTTCACGCTCTGAGGAGTCAAAAGGTTTCTCCCTTGTGTGAGTTCTTAAATGCTTGTGAAGATGGCTGCTCTGACTGAATCTCTTTCCACAGTATGAGCACTGAAACGGCTTCTCCCCTGTGTGAGTTCTTAAATGCCTGTGAAGAGTGCTGCTCCGACCGAATCTCTTTCCACATTCTGAGCACTGAAATGGTTGCTCCCCTGTGTGGGTTCTTAAATGCCTCTGAAGACTGCTTGTCCGACTGAATCTGTTTCCACATTCTGAGCATTCAAAAGGTTTCTCCCCTGTGTGGGTTCTTTGATGCAGTAGGAGATCGCTACTCTGACTGAACCTCTTTCCACACTCTGAGCATTCAAAAGGTTTCTCCCCTGTGTGGATTATTAGGTGCTGTTGAAGACTACATCTGTGATTGAATCTCTTCCCACACTCTGGGCACTCAAAGGGTTTCTCCCCTGTGTGACTTCTTTGATGCATTAGGAGATGGCAACTTTGACTGAATTTCTTTCCACACTCTGAACATTCAAAAGGCTTCTCCCCTGTGTGGATTCGTTGGTGCACAAGGAGCTGTGATCTATATTTAAAGTACCTTCCACACTGAAAGCATTTACAAGCCTTCATTACATAGTTCCCTGTGAAATGTAGATTTCCCTGTCTTCCATCAGGCAATGTCATTCCACTCTCTGAACAGATAAACGGTTTCTCTCCTGAATAAATACTTTGGTGTTTAATAACTGATTTCTCTGAGAAATTCCCAACACTGTCTGAAAAAGTATAATGTTTTCCTCTTGCATGTGTCTGTTGATGTTTAAGGAGCTCTGCTCTGCAGAGGAAGTTCTTCCCACACTCCAAGCCTTGATGTGTCTTCTTTCCACTCTGCATTTGCAAATGGACCTTATACTGGGCTTCATCTGAGAAGATCATTCCACACACCAAGCACTTGTATGTTTCCTCCACCATGTGAATTCCTTCACGGAAATCCCCCCCTTGGCAAGGAATCCGTTGATCACTCTTCTCTTCTGTGTGGCTTCCTTTTTGCCTCTTGGGTTTCCCTTGAGTCCTGATTTTTCCTCTCAAGTTTTTATTCTTGACTTCATCTGCTGATAGATGATGCAGTTCCTCATCCTCTTCATTCCCCCAGTCATCCCCTGTTGGTAATAATGAGAAAGATCCTGTTAGCACCCACAGAAGGTCTGATTTCCACTTGAAATTGCATCCATGCTCAAAGCGTTATAGGGCCTTGTTCCTGTGGTACATTGAAATCTACAACAATATACACATTAAAAGTGACTTCCCACCTGCCAGTTCGGTCCATCTCAAAGAGAATCCCTTAAATTCCCTAAGTGTCTTCTCTACATCTGCTGGAATACAGAAGGAGGTCCAATTTGCATGTACCCAAGCCACCAATCCTTTGCATGTAGCCAAGCCACCAATCCTTTGCATGTAGCCAAGCCACCAATGAAACACTTCACATTCATGAGTGTTCATTTGTTTTTGAGCAGAAATTCTCCCCCCCCCCAAAAAAAAAGTTTTCTGCAGGGCCACAAGTTGCTAAGACCTCAGCAAGTGAACCCTGCAGTTCAAGGGACCCTCCCCCCCAAGTGGTTTTTGGAAGGGATATCAGTTGTTGTTGAGGGATTAAGGCATCTAGGTGATGACCGAAGGGAATTATTGATGACCCTTCTGCCTTTTTCAGCCTGACTGTCCTATAGTAGTCTCTCTTACATTCCTGTCTTCTTTGGTGGGGTGGGGGAGAGATCATTCATGTACAGGAAAGAAATCCAAGGAAGAGGATTTGTGGCTATTAGCCACAAGGTATAGATAGGGGCTCTGGAGCAAGTGATGCTCTGTCTTCTTGGTGCTTGGGGGGGGGGTCAACAGTGGGAGGGCTTCTAATGTCCTGGCCCCACTGGTGGACCTCCTGATGGCACCCAGGTATTTCTGGCCACTGTGTGACACAGAGTGTTGGACTGGATGGGCCTTTGGCCTGATCCAACATTGGCATCTCTTATGTTCTTATGTTCTTAAAAATTCTTCTGGAAGGATGGAAACACGATCAAGATCAAAGCCCCCAATCCTAACCAGATTAAGGGGGCCAAATCCACACCGGATCAGTCAGATAGGATGGCCGCAATCCCATTCAGGGGGGAGGGTGTGTTGTAAAGGCTGGCAACTGAGAAATCGGGGTCTGACCTGATGCCACGGGACTCTCCCTCACATGGGGACCTCCGTTTTGGATCCCTGTACACTTGCACGTCTTAGCAGGGGCCTAGCAATGAAAAATGGAGTCTGGATCAAACTCACTGGCAAGCTTTAAGCAGCATCTGGACAGACACTTGTCAGGGGTGCTCTAGGGCTGATCCTGCATTGAGCAGGGGGTTGGACTCGATGGCCTGTATGGCCCCTGCCAACTCTGGGGTTCTATAGGAACATGACAGTGAGTCATGCTGACAGTGTGAAGGGAAGGTGCACTCCTCCCACTAGTCATGTGAAAGCCATATCTGGTGGGAGTCCACCAAAAGGCCTTTTCCCCAAGGGCCTAAGGGGTTCCCTCCCTGATCACCTGGCCTGGATAAAGACCCAAATAATCAAGACTATGAGCAACGGGCCAGCCCCAGCCATTTCTTCCTCAACTTAAGTGCTGGGCAGCAAAGTTTCTCCCCCCACTCCATCACGTAAACTCAGCCGCATACTCTCAGCCTCCTTAAAGGAACACTTCTTCTTGGGACTTTTATCCGTGATTGAAAAGAAGAAAAATTCCCCCTTTACAATGCACACCAAAACCCCTTTTTCAAATTGAATGCCATCTTAGCAGAAATGTGTAAAAAGTTATCCCTCGGTCCATCCAGTTTGCAGCACGTTTTGGATCCCGGCCTGTTCCCCCAACTGTACGCCTGGCTTCACTACGGTTCCATCCTTCTCTGCTGTGCTTCTCCACAGCTGCCTGGTCGTCTGCAGGAAGCAGGCTTGTTATCTCTTTGATTCCTCCCCTTCATTTTCTCCCTTAGCAGCAGGTGGTTTGTGAGGGAAAGGGTTTAAATTGTGTTTGTGCTTCACATGTGCATTCATTTCCTTTCACATGTGCATTTATTTCCTTATTCAATATGCTGACACCCTTCATTTCTTTTGAGTGTTGGTCTGTATCTCGACCCTGGTAGACACAGGTTTATGATCTGGGGGATTAATACCCCACAATACACGTTTTCTCTTTGCTAGCAGAAGGATGCTTTTGCCAGCTACAGGGGTGGACGTGCACGAGTGATTTGGGTAACGCACCCCTTTCTGAGGGCCTCTGAGCCCCTCCTTGGCTCCAGGCCAGGACACCCTCTCTGGCTCGGGTGACGGCCACAACACTGGCCTCAGTTTCCCCCGGGCCAGCCAGACGGCTTGGCCCGCTCTCCCAGGCCATGCTGAACATCACTTTTACTGCCAACATAACTCCTCGAGACCCCTAGCAGGGGACAAGTAGTGGGGCAGGACTGAGACCGATGCATTCATGTTCAATATTTTGAGTCGGGCCTCATCCCAAAGGCAGCAATTCACACCGTTGGCACCCATGGAAGACCCTTACCCAGAAAGGCCACACTCCCGTAGTTCTCCAGCATGACTTCCCTGTGGAGAGCTCTCTGGTCTGGATCCAGGAGCGCCCACTCTGCCTCGGTGAAATACACGGCCACCTCCTCAAAGGAAAAGGGACGCTGGAAGAAAAAGCAGATTCCCTCCTCAGAGATCATGCCAGGCCGAGAATGCACACTGGAAGGGGGCAGTCTGGAAGGGCGCAGGATGTGGAGCTTGGCATGGGCCAAGGGAGTGGCACTTGGAACCTCTTTTCCTCGGTCACCTTTGCAGCAACTGCAGGAGCAAAAGTTCCTCTGTGCAAGGGGGGGGGGACCCAGGCTGTCTCCTGCTCTTCTACCTGGACTGGAGGTGCAGCGGCCGTTTCCCCTCCTCTGCCAAGACGACGGCTGAACATCACCTGTCCACTGCCTGAGAGGGAGACAAACAAGGAAGATAGATCGTTAGCCTAGACGCCCTCGTTCGTTTGCTTGTTTGAATCCTGCTTCGTGCACCCTCCTTCCCAGGGCTGTGAAACCTTGCCACAGGCACACCCGACACAATTTGTAAGGGTTTTTAGTAGACTGTGGGAGAGGGGGAAGAGAAATACCAGATACCCATGAGCCTTTGGGCTTCTAAATGCTGCTGACCCACTGAAATTTCTGTGAGAACTGAAATGTGCTCTGTGACGTCTGGAGTTCAGAAACACAACAGCATCCCTGCTGGATCAGACCCACGGCCCAGGCGCTCCGTCCTCCCCGCCCCCAGCTTGCCCCTCCCACTGGCCCTTCAGTCCTGGCTGGAAGGAGAAAAAGAGGGGAGCAGAAATTGTTGCTGTCACGTCCAGCGTATCTGAAAACTCCAGGGTACTATCGATGGGTTTCCAGGGATTCTGCTGATGCCCTGACATCACAGCCAGTCATGTGCCACCCTCAGAGACCAATGGGGTGCCAGGCTACATGTACAGGAAAGAAGATAGATAACTCACTGAAAATGTCAGGACAGTGTGTGACTGCAATAAAGAAGGCCAATGCTATGCTGGGGATTATTAGGAAGGGTATTGAAAACAGATCAGCCAATATCATAATGCCCCTATATAAATCAATGGTGAGACCTCATTTGGAATACTGTGTGCAGTTCTGGGCACCACACCTTAAAAAGGATATTATAGCTTTGGAAAAAGTGCAGAAAAGGGCAACTCAAAAGATAAAAGGGTTGGAACACTTTCCCTATGAGGAAAGGTTAAAGCGCTTAGGGCTCTTTAGCTTGGAGAAAAGACGACTGAGGGGTGACATGATCGAGGTTTATAAGATTATGCATGGGAAAGAGCAGGTAAAGAAAGAGGTACTTTTCTCCCTTTCTCACAATACAAGAACCCGTGGGCACTCCATGAAATTGCTGAGCGGTCGGGTTAGAACGGATAAAAGGAAGTACTTCTTCACCCAAAGAGTGATTAACACATGGAATTCACTGCCACAGGAAGTGGTGGCGGCTACAAGCATGGACAGCTTCAAAAGGGAATTAGATAAGCATATGGAGCAGAGGTCCATCAGTGGCTATTAGCCACAAGGTATAGATAGGGACTCTGGGGCAAGTGATGCTCTGTCATCTTGGTGCTTGGGGGGGTCAACAGTGGGAGGGCTTCTAATGTCCTGGCCCCACTGGTGGACCTCCTGATGGCACTGGTATTTCTGGCCACTGTGTGATACAGAGTGTTGGACTGGATGGGCCTTTGGCCTGATCCAACATTGGCATCTCTTATGTTCTTATGTTCTTATGACCTCTGGTTTGAGAAGTGAAAAGGGAAATGGTCTTAGGCTCCTCAAGAGTAGAGAAAGGGAAAGTTATAACCCCAAAAGGGAAGCATTGAAACACAGGGGAAAAGTTCTAACTTCCAGGAAACTAAGAAACTTTAATGAAACTTTATTAAGTCACACTGTTGCTGAAAGAATTCTACAAGATAAACCAATCCCTCACAGTAAAGAACTGAGTCTCTTAGAATTTAAGCTTCAATTATATTCTGTTGCCTGTTCAAGATATTCTAATTGTCTTTTAAATAATTAGTTACCTCAGCTCATTGTCCCCTGCCCTATTCCTGATCCAACTGTGCCTGTTCAATAAAATCAAACCTTTTTGTTTCAACTTTACTTCACATCAAATGCCACTTCCAAAGGGTTATATAAGAGGACTCCTGCTGAGTTACAATAAAACTCTGGCCCGGGCAAAAGCCAAATAACTTCTTTAGCATTGGGTGGGACACAACGAAAGTTGGAAGTTTGTAATTCATACACACTACTAAGAGTCTACTCAGTCAGAGTGGTGATAGTGTTTTGGCGGGAAAATCTCCCCCACAGAACAGAAGGAGCAGGGGTCTGCTGTACCTTCTATGAAACTTTCTAATCACCTTTCAAGGGAGTGGCCATCACTATATGCTGTTGCATTAAATCCCAGAACGTAACTTTGTTGTATGCTGAAATATTTCAATTTTCTTCTGTTCTAAACCTTCTACCCAACAACTTCACTGAGTACGCCTATCCCATTTGGCCACAAAACAGAAGAAGAAGAGAAGAGGAGATTGGATTTATACCCTGCCCTTCACTACCCAAAGGAGACTCAGAGCGGCTTACAAACTCCTTTCCATTCCCCTCCCCACAACAGACACCCTGTGAGGTAGGTGGGGCTGAGAGAGCTCTTGACAGAAACTGCTCTTTTTCAAGAACAGCTCTTATCAGAACTACGGCTTGCCCAAAGTCATCCAGCCAGGTGCAAGTGGAGGAGTGGGGAATCAAACCCGGTTCTCCCAGATCAGAGTCCGTGCACTTAACCACTACACCAAACGGAGTCTCCTTACCATCTGAGAGGGCATCTTGGGCATGCTCCTGGGCCTGAGCTCTCTGCCCTTCCTCCAAAGGAGATCCTTCCTCCTCAGAGAAGTTAGTTTCCACCTTCACTGATGGTCCCCACATCTGAAAGAGCAGAAAAGGAGATGGATAAGGGAAGGATCGGAACAGGCCAAGGAGAAGGATCCTGTCCCACTCCCAGACTCTTCCTCCCTGGATCAGCCACCCAGAGCTGGTTTAACCACAAGGACAAGAGACAGGGTTGGGTTTTCTTCCCAAACTAGTGAATTCTCTAGAGGCAGAACTGAGCAAGGGGAACCCCTCACCTGCTCTGCCTGCCTCTTCTCTTCTGCCTGACTCAGGAGGAAACCTTCGGCCAGGGCCACCGCCTGGGAACTGGTCTCCGGCCCACATTTTCTGACCCAGCTCTCCATCTCCGGGGGCAGGATGGCCAGGAACTGCTCCAGGATCACCAGGTCCAGGATCTGCTTCTTGGTGCGCCTCTCTGGTTCCAGCCAGCAGTTGCAAAGTCGATGGAGCTGGCTGCAAACCTCTCGGGGTCCATCAGCCTCATGGAAATGGAACTGACGGAAGCATCGGTTGTGTACATCTGTGGTCATAGTGTCCTGAGCCAAGATCTCTGGAGCAGCTCTTTCCCAAAATTCAGCACCACTCCCTGCTTGGTTGGGATGGGGACCTTTCCTTGATGTCTTGCCAGTTCCAGGTCCTTCTATGTCCTTCTCTTCCATCTCCTTCCCTTGGGTTGCCTCTGACTGTCAAAAGGTACCCTTACTCATGTGGCTATGAAGAGAGAGAGGAAAACATATCAAAAAGGCAGAAAGGTACCAAAAGAGAATGGAGCCACATCACCAACCCTGGTGAAAAGACACCTAATGATTGCCCCAGGAATCTGATGGAGCGTCCTTGTCTAGTTTGCGGATCAGGATTAATGTCACTGTGCCACATTATGTATCAAGCTTTCTTAGGTATGCCTGTTTGGTCCTTCAGGAAAGTAAACCGTCTCTGTTTGACTGTTTAAAAATCTGTTGCCGATGTTATGATTTTGGCCTCCCTAGGTCAGAGGGGGAGCTGCGGTGGCTCAAGTGGTTGAGACGCTGAACTGCAGGCTGTGGAAGGTCAGTAATTCAGCAGTTCGAGACCCGAGTGCTGCATGACGGAGTGAGCTCCCGTCTCTAGTTCCAGCTCCTGCCAACCTAGCAGTTTGAAAGCAAGAAATTGCAAGTAGATAAATAGGGACCACTTTGGTGGGAAGGTAACAGCGTTCCGTGTGCCTTGGTGTTTAGTCATGCCAGCCACATGACCACGGAAACGTCTTCGGACAGCGCTGGCTCTTCGGCTTTGAAACAGAGATGAGCACCGCAACCCTAGAGTCCGACTCGACTGGCTTTTGAGCAAGGGAACCTTTACCTTTACCTTTAGGTCAGAGGGGGCTGCTTGGATGAACAGGTGGAGACAGCAGACCCCCAGGAAAACAGCAAATGGGACATGAAGCACTGCCCCAAATGCTTTGCAGTGTGGGGAAGCCAATCAGCTTGTATGATTCATCTCTTCTGATGATGCCTGGGAGTCCTCTGTGGGCCTCATTATGACCACCATGGCTGAGAATTTATTTTAATTTACAAAATTCAGACCCTGCCTCTCTGCCCTCACAAGGGCCACTAAGGCAGCTAACAAATTAAAACATGTATGTATTTATTTACATGGTTCAAGTCCGCCTTTCTTGATGGGACTCTAGGGAGCTTACACAGACTTACTCTGTACAATCAGTAGGACGGTATGTTCAGTAAACTATGAAATAGAATTTTGGTTGCAGAACCAACCAGAAACCTGAAAAACAACGTTGAACGAAAGCATAAATGGTGACATGAACCACTAAATGATGCAAAATTACATTGTAGGATACAATTTACAATAGTAAAAAAAAATACACAATAGGATACTACTTAAAATAAGCTACACACATTAGTGCCCTGACCTGGATAGTCCAGGCTAGCCCGATCTTGTCAGATCTTGGAAGCTAAGCAGGGACCATTTGGATGGGAGGCCTCCAAGGAATACCAGGGTCACAATGCAGAGGCAGGCAATGGCATACCACCTCTGAATGTGTCTTGCTTTGAAAACCCTACAGGGTCACGAGAAGTCAGCTGTGACTTGAGGGCAACAACAAATAATACACATTAGTATGCACCACAGTCCCTAAGAATTTCTCCACGTGACTTTGTGAATCATTTTGGACACTGCTACCCTATTGCCTCTGTAGAAAAGCCCTCTTGGGATCATTCAGTTTGGTGTAGTGGTTAAGTGTGCAGACTCTAATCTGGGAGAAACGGGTTTGATTCCCCACCCCTCCACTTGCACCTGCTGATGTGACCTTGGGTCAGTCACAAGCTCTGGCACAGCTGTTCCTGAAAGAGCAGTTTGTGTCAGAGCTCTCTCAGCCCCACCTACCTCACAGGGTGCCTGTTGTGGGGAGGGGAAGGGAAAGGAGTTTGTAAGCCGCTCTGAGACTCCAAGTGAAGGACGGGGTATAAATCCAATCTCTTCTTCTTCTCTTCTTCTTCAATCTTCCATAGCCAGGAGAGTGGGAACCTGTCTGGCCTCCTCAGGCAGCCATTCCACAAGGTGGGGGCCTCAAAGGAGAAGGCACGTGGACGGGCAGTGGTTGATTCTGCCCATTTGCGGGGAGGGATCTGCAGAAATCCCTGCTCAGATGAGGGAAGCTGCTCTGGCAGAGCATAAGGGGAGAGACTGTCTTGCAGGGATGAGGCTCCAAGGCCATGAACTGCTCTGTATGGGAGAGCCACTCTTTGAACTAGAGCCCAGAAACTGATGGGCAGCCAGTGGATAGCAGTAATATGCATGTGCCACCTAGCTATCAATAATAGTCAAATCGCAGCATTCTGCACCAACTGGAGTTCCCAAACTGATTTTGAGGGAAGACCCTTGTACAGTGCATTACAGTAGTCTAGTCTCGATGTCATCAGGATTCTGGATCCAGCTGGCCAGATCAGCTATTATCAAGGCCAGGCTAGGCTGAGTTGGGAGAAAGCCTTTTTTGGAACTGCATCAACTTGCTTCTCCAGCAATCCAGTAAAACCCCGAGGCTCTTAAGTGAGCCAGCAAGGGTCAGCCGAACTCCATCGGAAATGGGGAGCAGAATGGCCTTCAAGGCCTTCACCTTCCCAACTGACATTACTTCCGCCTTTCCAGGATTTCGTTTCAATTTGTCCACTCTCAAGCATTTATCCACAGCAGCCAGGCCACGATTCAGGACCTCTATGGCACCACCAGGAAATGTGGAGAAGGAGATATAGACAGACAGACAGACAGACAGCTGTGTATCGTCTGCAGATGGATGACAGCCAAGACCCAAACTACAAATGGGTTTTGGTCGACATAGAGGGAGAAGAATGGGGGGGGGGG